TTTCCCCATGGAGTCTCCCCAAGTGACTGACTGGTCTTCTAAGACTCTCATTTGTCTCTCTGTCATGTGATCCTTCGTTGGAGAGATGAGACTTCACTGTTTTATGATCTTCTTGATGTTCTTCCTCAGGGTGTTTTCCTTCTACCTCACCTGTTTGTTATTATTGACCTGTGATGAATCCCGTATTACGAAATGTGAAAACATTGTTGAGTTGGTGCTTTGAAATTTACAGTGGAAAGATGAATTAATTGCGAAATGAATTTAATAACATAGTTCTACCTGGCGGGGTCAATAATGGTAACCGCTTTGACCTGAATTAATTTATGATACACACACACACACACACACACACACACACACACACACACACACATACACAGAGTATTGGAATGCATACGTGTACATGCTCCCGTGTTTAAAGTTGCCGTGTGACTTGTCTAATATTTTTCTCCTTCGACCTCTTGAGCGCCTCGCGGTTTACCATGAGTACTGAGCGGTATTCCATGAGCTCTGCGTCTGGCTCAATACTATTCAAATGTACACACACACGCCTACACACACACACGCCTACACACACACACACACACACACAAACGGCAATCTGACTTATTTCGCCTAAAACAAAATCCATGAAATCGTAAATGACCTTGTGTTTTATTCTCAGACTTTAACTATTATTATTTCCGAAATGTGAGATAATCTATAGGTTAAACAACTGAGTTATAAAAGCAAGTTAAATAAAATAGTGGTGAGAGAAGATAAGATTAATAAATAATATAGTTTTTCAGGTATAAATATTAAGAGGATTGTCTGGTTTCGGTGTAAGTGCTTTAATTTTGGTCGATGGTCATGGTGTTCCTGTCATCAATCAAGGATCATATGTACATCAATTCTAGCCCCATAACCTCCTCCTACCCTTTCAAAATTTCCAATCCTTTACACATTGTAGTTTTGTGTTAGTATTATTATTATTATTTCAGACATTATCATCATTTTAGTATTACCATTATTATTGACATTCTTATAATCATCATGATCAGTCCGAATTATTGGTCCTATAAGAGCATGTCACACCTGTTAGACACCTGAATATAAGTGACAGAATAAAAGCTACAAGAAAAAACAAAAGACGATCAACATAGTATTTTTCCCATTAAAACTAACCCTATATTCCTTGTTTATCTTGACTCTCTTGTAGATTCAGTCATTTATACCCGTATATAACATTTAATCGGCTGTTAAATATTCCATCGATTTTAGACTTTTTGTCGAATATTATCTTAAATAGAGAGAGAAAAATAGGTAGTGATTTCTTATACTTTGTTTTTCTCTTCACTTCTCCCTTCTCCCCGAGGAAAAATTACAATCAGGATTCATAAGTTTTATTTTTCAGGAAGTCAGACGAAAAATAATATTTGGGGTAATTGATTCAGATATCTTTCTCTCTCTTTCTGTCTCTCTCTTGTTTCTTTCTCTCGTTCTCTCTTCTTTACCGTCTTTTTCTTCTTTATTTTCTTCTTTCTCTAAATTATCTTCTTTTTCTTCTTCATTTTTTCATTCTCTTCTTCTTTGAAATGTTATTCCTTGTCGTTTTCTTTGTCTTCTTTTTTATCCTCTTGTTATCTTAGTCCTCATCTGTTTCATATTCTTCTCGTCTTCTTTGTTTACACCTTTTTAGTGTCTCTTTCTCCTCCTCCTTCTTCTTAAGTTAACCACCAGATGGCACTAACTGACCAAGTGATAAAAACAAATAAAACAAAAATAAAACACAGACCTAAATCCCTCCTTATAAAACCATTGACTCGCTCCAAAAAAGTATCTATACGATTTTAGGCGAAACAATATGACACAACAGACGAAGGATTTTGACAACCCTACCGAGACAACAGGAGTCACAGTGTTCATTCTGAAATTCATCGATCACCCCAAGTAGAGATATTTTTTTGAGTGACTGTTCTTGATCACAGATAAACTTTCCACATTATTACTGTCACATTAGAGTCATATCTTTGCCTTAATTACCCACAGATAATAATAAAAAAAGTTTTATCTTCGAATTCCATTACATTTTGACTATTTTCGATTTTTGGTGGGGAAGGAAAGGGGAAGAGGCGAAAGGTAAGCAAGAAAGAATTGTTTAGAAATTGACTTCAAGTTTTGGAGTTTTCAATATTACAAGGAATTATTGGTTGTGGGGGGTAGGGGGAGGGGTTATGGGGGTAAGCATAATACAATGAAACCTCTGTTATACCAAGTGTCAGGCAGATGTAAAACCTCAATCTAACGAACAATAATAGATATGAAAATCCGTTATATCGCAGGTCCATTATATATGAAACCCCCCCCATTTAACGGATTATATAGAGACAAATCCGTTATATGGAAGGTTTCACTGTATATTCACTTTGATATATATCTGACGTAAAAAAACCCCTCTGATTATGGGTAGACCTTTTGTGTGAACTAGGCGTTGTTAGCAAGACAACCATGTCAAATTGCAAGGCTTGATGGTCTAGGTGGGTCGTTATTGGAGAATCTGGAAGGGAGGGGGGTGGGGGTGCAATTAGTCCCAAATCCTCAGCAGGAAGGGGTCGAGTAGGTACTTGTAGTTTCGAGGATGACACACTTCCTTGGTAGTTATATAACACTACAGATATATAATGATGGGCTATAGTCATGTTCGTACTGGGAGAGAGAGAGAGAGAGAGAGAGAGAGAGAGAGAGAGAGAGAGAGAGAGAGAAGAGAAGAGAGAGAGAGTCGTGTATCTATAGCTTTAAAGATTCTTGCCGTGCCAACTTTGAACACATGAGCTCTAAATATATATATATATATATATATATATATATATATATATATATATATATATATATATATATATATATATATATATATATCCAGGTATAATACGAACTGAGGTGCATCAGACAGGTATACATGTCTACCTACCTAACATACCTGAATATTTGTAAATGGTCAACTCTTAATTCAGACCCACAATTGTTGGCTCAGTGACAAACTACTGTATAAACAAATGTCTTCTTTACACACACACACACACACACACACGTTTCAAAAACATTATCCAGATAACTTCGACCTCCTAAGATGTCCTTGTGTGTGTGTGTGTGTGTGTGTGTGTGTGTGTGTGTGTGTGTGTGTGTGTGTGTCAGCCGCCCATCACCGCTCACTTGTTGCTGGTTGTAATAATACTCTACGTGGCTATACGGGACGGCCTCTCCCCACAGTACTTAAGAAATCAATAGTACGCATCATCGTCCTCCTCTCACCTCTGGGTCGAACTTGGCAACTTGGTTAGGTTAGGTTAGGTTAGGTTAGGTTGGGTTTGGTTTATTTACATTAAGTTCTGAAATACAATATTAAAAAGGATTTATGTGATAAGAAAATATTACACATACACATACACACACACACACACACACACACACACACACACACACACACACACACACACACACACATCCGTATTTTAATCAGTGTGTCATGTTAACGTTACCACAACATCAGCTATTTATTTTTATTTTTTTTGCAAACATATATACATTCACATCAACACAAATGATGAGTTTCATCCAACAACAACAAGTTCACGTGATAGAAATTTCATACATAAAACCAATTCTATTTTTTATTTTGACAAACTAAACCAAAATACCATAATAAAGTTGAGGTAGTAACAAAAAGAGAATTTCACCCGGGGAAAAAATAATAAAAAATCCCACATTGGACCAATAATGCACCAAACATATGTAGTTAATTTATATTGCAACATGTTCATTCAACACAGATAAATCACCAACATTCTGTAGCTTAATTACATTCATAAAAAAATAAAAAATAATCATCTATCAATAACACAACTTTAATTTGTAGGTGTGTGTGTGTGTGTGTGTGTGTGTGTGTGTGTGTGTGTGTGTGTGTTGGCCGAGTCGTTGGTGTTGTCAGCGCGGGTGGGGTGATAAATCAAGAGAGAGAGAGAGAGGCAGCAGGCGGTGTGACTCCCCACCCCCTCTTCTTCCTAACGCTGCTACGATATCGAGAGAAAAAAAAGAACGCTAGAACCACGATTACTACCCCGTCGCTACAGATAATGGAATTACCGAGAGAGAGAGGGAGAGAGGGAGGGAGTAGAGAGAGAGAGAGTAGAGAGAGAGAGAGAAAGGGATAGTGGGAAACTTTAATTAACTTTACATTTAATTGTAGTTCTCAGAAATTAATTCCCTCCCTTCTTGAAACAATTTTTTTTTTAACCCGTGTTTACGATTTTTTCTTGGAACTGTTAACTGTCCTTTCCTCTACTGATGATCTATGAGTCTCTATGTTGTCTTGACAGGTGATGGATGAAGGAGTCTCATTATCATCGTATGTGAGTTGAAGAAATCTAAAATGATTCATGATGTTGAAATGACATGTTGTCCCCCCCCCCCTTTACACTGAGCCACATTCCAACTTATATCCCTCTAGTAAACAAAGTCCAAAGGTCAATTAACATACAATAACAAAGACTATAATTCGTGTGCTGTTTAGGACCATAATTAATCCATAAGGAACTATTGTAATGTCAAAATGTACGACAGTATGGATCACACCTTCAGGATATAATACAACAACACAGGATGGATCACACCTTCAGGATATAATACAACAACACAGGATGGATCACACCTTCAGGATATAATACAACAACACAGGATGGATCACACCTTCAGGATATAATACAACAACACAGGATGGATCACACCTTCAGGATATAATACAACAACACAGGATGAATCACACCTTCAGGATATAATACAACAACACAGGATGGATCACACCTTCAGGATATAATACAACAACACAGGATGGATCACACCTTCAGGATATAATACAACAACACAGGATGGATCACACCTTCAGGATAGTGTTCCCTTCACCTGGTGTGGAATACCTGCAGGAGTGAACGAGTATCCCTCCAGCAGTAACACCAAGAGGAACTTACCAGAGGGAGAGAGGGTGTCGGTGTCCTGGTAGAGGGGAGGGTGGTGGTAGGTGGTGTCCTCTCAGCCTCCTGCCGATGGTAATCCACAAACTTACGTTCCAATAAAGTAGGATTTCTGCGGCTTGGATCCCGCCTCTGATAGCTCCTTTGGGGTCCTCGGCTGGACTTCCCGAGGTGGGGGTCCTTAACGCCTAGGAAATGACGCTCCTCCTCAGCAAAGTGTCTTGGCGGTAACTGAGTCGTTCAGTGTGTGTGTGTGGAGTGATCGATCACAACAAACTGTACAACTCTTACTGTCTTATCCGAGAACTTAGTGAAGAGTTAGTCACTTGAGGTCAAGCTAATGTGTCAAATTTGGCTCCGTTATTTGTATCACTTCCAACCAAAAATACAAATTCAAAACAAAACAAAAAACAAATCACAGTATATCGCTTAAAAACTAGCGAGCAGTACAAACAGGGTCATGTCAGAGGTGAGAGCGAGTACGTGTGTGTGTGTGTGATTGTGACAGGGTGTTATACCCGTGCCCTACTACCACCACCACCACCTGTTGCCCCGGGCGAGCTGACCATTCACCAAATGATCTGTCATCACGATGATATTCACTCCTCTGCAAAATAAACAACAAAGGATATCTGGTGTTCGTACTCAGCAAGGACACTGGATAGCCAACATTGCGTCACTGTCGGTCAGAATCGGGGGACCAGAGTACAAGTTGAACGGCCCCTGTAGGCGAGTGAGAGAGGTTGCAGGGGGGGAAGGTGTGGCAGAGCGGTGCGCAGTAACACCCTCTCACTACGGCAGCCGAGACCACACTGAACTACCTGGGTCTGGCTGCTGCTGCTGCTAGTGCCACTGTCCATGTTCCACCTCCCTCCCTCAGTGCCTCCCACCTCCACCTCCAACACTCGCAACACGCACAATTTCACTCGCCTTGTAACTCTTTTAGTCTCTCTCTCTCTCTCTCTCTCTCTCTCTCTCTCTCTCTCTATACACCCTTTCTTCCTCTGTTATCTTTACACTTACCATCTCGTGATTCATCTGTAGTTGTTCAGTGTTCAGACTCGTTCAAATTTCGCTGTTCTCTGTTCATCGTCCAGTGTTCTGTAATTAGTGTCCAGTGTTCAGTCGCGGTCAATGTTCAGTGTATAGCGGTCTCTCTCTCTCTCTCTCTCTCACACACACACAGTAAAATTTATCGTCATATATCAATTTACTCTCACTCAAAGCCCGAGTCCATTGGCAAAGCTACAATGGGTAAATTAAACACACACACACACACACACACACACACACACACACACACACTGCGATAAAAGTACAGCTTGTGTTGTGACCTTTACCACCAAGTCCACTCAATGAGGAATTATTATTATTATTATTATTATTATTATTATTATTATTATTATTATTATTATTATTATTATTATTATTATTATTATTATTATTATTATTATTATTATTATTATTATTATTATTATTATTATTATTATTATTATTATTATTATTATTATTGTTATTGTTATTGTTATTGTTATTGTTATTGTTATTATTATTATTATTATTATTATTATTATTATTATTATTATTATTATTATTATTATTATTATTATTATTATTATTATTATTATTATTATTATTATTATTATTATTATTATTATTATTATTATTATTATTATTATTATTATTATTATTATTATTATTATTATTATTATTATTATTATTATTATTATTATTATTATTATTATTATTATTATTATTATTAATTTTATTAATTTTATTGTCGTTGTTGTTGTTTTTATTGACATTGTTGTTGTTGAAATTATTATTATTATTATTACCACAAAATGTAGTTCTACTAATATTGGCTGTGTGAGTGTCAATCTCTATACATCTTATACAAAGGGTGAAAAGGGCTTTAATCTTGTTCATGTGTACAGCGTGTTGTTCCAGTGGCTAATAAGGGAAGAACCGGCTTTTGAGGGAACAAATTTACCTCTGGATTTATACTTTGACAGAAGTATCAGACATTTTGTTCATACTTACGTGAAAAAAAAAAATTACATCGCTTTTTCTTCTTTGTTATTAAGCTGTACCTTGTGTGTGCTTCAGGCTGGATCTGTTTATAGTGTGTGTGAGTGTGTAATAATAATAATAATAATAATAATAATAATAATAATAAAAGGTTTATTAAGAGTTGCAGCCGGTGGCTGAAAATATACAAACTTACATTTTATTTAGAAATAATGATATGGGTTGAATACCTTTACAGGTCTGTACCGTACATAAATCAGGAGTTGTTTATTATTTTAACAATAGATGGGATGATGCTATTCTTATATCTATCAGTGCGGGCTCTTATGGACTGAATTTTGTTGTAGTGGCGGACTGCGCGAGGTGGGCGGGGGACTGCAGGTGGCAGTAGGTGGCAGTAGGTGGCGATGACGAGGATGGTGCAGTCGTCCACTGTGTGTGTATGTGTTTGAGATAAGGTCATCTACTCCCTAGACTTGTCAATTTGTGTGAATGTTAATGTATATAGAGACTGGTTCTCTTGACATGATATGTTGCGTTACATTTTTCATTCGTTTCTCTTATCCCGAAGGTAAATTATCAGTGTTTATCATTATACCTTCCAAGACAATGTTGAATTAAATTATAGGTCAACAAGACAATCGTTATCATTCTATAATTACTCGTTGTTTGGACTGGTTGAGTGGTTGTATGACTCACTACTGCACCCTGAACTCTGACATAAAGTCAAGATAACAAGATACTGACCATCGTCCCTGAGCCATTCCTGTTTTAAGTGTCAAGATAACAGGGTAGGATCACTGGCAGCCTCTCGTGCAGGAAGATCAGTGAGTGATAACACCTGGAACAGTAAAGTTATTATACCTGTACATTGTTTTTGTTGATGATGTTATGTGTACTAATATTCTTACAAGTTATTTCAAGTACATAGACATCCAATCATAGACATAACATTCTAATTTAAACTATATTTACGTAAATCTAATTAAAAAAAGTTACATTTACGCTTCTTAATATTTTTTGTTTTTACATGACTTGGAAAGAAGAAATAATTTTATTGATTCCTTATATCGTAGAGTTATTGTACAGTTTAATGAGGGACGCCCAGTGGAGGCTAGAAACAGGGCGAGCAGCTGGGACCTTATTTGTTTACATCTGAGTAATATCTGGAGACGTCTTTAAGTTGGTTCCTCTAAATAATCTATCTGTGTGTCTGTCTGTCTGTCTGTCTGTCTGTCTGTCTGTCTGTCTGTCTGTCTGTCTGTCTATCTATTTGTCTCTTTCCACGCTAGGGTCAATCATTTGGATTTGATGTTATGATAATTATACATCAGGTCGTCCTTGGTAATAATTCGGCGCTGATATATTTCGGACAACATGGAACATTGATTAAGATCACATGTCAGTAATATAGGTCAGGTAATGTTAGGATCCCTCAATTACTGATAGAATGATAACAACATTTTCACAAGAGAGAAGAATGACTGTCACTTACCTATCCTAATCATTCACCAAGTACTGTATGGTGATTGGGTAGTTTTGTTTGTCTTTTCTCAAATTAGCATCCATAGTTCTGATGATACGCTGGTTTTAATAATTTAACAGCTGTTAGACCCAAACCCAGGATAAATACTGGTTAAAATCAAACAAAGGTCAAGGTCAATGGAGGTCACTCTACACTAGCAGGACTTGAGGTTAATGTTTTCTTGCATTGAATACGACATAAGCACAACAACTCACAGGTATCATACAATCTTTACCCAAAACATCATTGGTGTTGCCTTGGTAATAACTCAGAAAAGCATACTTCTTCCTTAACATCTCAGGTCAAAGGTCCACAGGTCAGAGGTCATGGACGAATAATAACTTTTACTCTTAATTCTTCCTTAGCCTCAAAGGTCAGAGGTCAGAGGTCATGGACGAACATTACCTTTTATTCTTAAGTGAGGTTGGAAATATTTTTGGTGAGGTTAAGTTAATGAAAAACTGAGACGACAAGATGAGGCTCGCGTTTTCTTTCACTGGAGACCATAGAAACCTAACCTAACCTAACCAAACCTAATCTAACCTAGCCTAACCTAACCTAACCTAACTTAACCAAACCTAGCCTAGCCTAACCTACCCCGGCCATTGACATTTCGCCACGCATTGTTCTCTGAGCGACGTTTCATTTACACTTTCTTTGTTTCCTCTGTCAACTATGAGTGACTCTATGCCTTCTGCTGTGTGATGGTAACTTTCCTGATTGGCCCCGAGTGTATAGAGACTCTCCTGATTGGCCCCGAGTGTATAGTGACTTTCCTGATTGGCAGCGTGAGTATAGTGACTCCCCTGATTGGCCCCGAGTGTATAGAGAGACTTCTGATTGGCAGCGTCAGTATAGTGACTCCCCTGATTGTCTCCGTGAGTATAGTGACTCCTGATTGGCCCCGAGTGTATAGTGAATCTCCTGATTGCCTCCGTGATTATAGTGACTCTTCTGATTGCCCCGATGTGTATGGTGACTCCTGATTGCCCCTGTGAGCTTAGTAACTCTTCTGATTGCCCCTGTGAGCATAGTGACTCTCCTGATTGCCCCCTGTGAGCTTAGTAATCCTTCTGATTGCCCCTGTGAGCATAGTGACTCTCTGATTGCCCCCAAGAGTACAGTGACGTACAGCATCAGTACAGACTGTCACGCCTCCCACGCCCCCCAGCCTCCCAGGACCCCCACGCCCTGTTACACCTCCCACGCCCCTCACACCTCCCAAGCCCCCACGCCCCCAGCCACCCACGCCTCCCACGCCCCCCACACCTCCCACGCCTGATGTGCCTCCCACGCCTCCCACGCCCCCCACGCCTCCCACGCCTACTTTCGCTCCCATACTTTTCTTATGATCAAGATATTTACTGAATGACCTTTCCAATGAGGTAAAAGTGACTTAGTGTCCAAAACAAACAAATAAAACAAACAATCAAACAAACAAACAAAACAAACAATCAAACAAACAAACAAACAAACAATCAAACAAACAGACAAGTAAAGTTTAATAGGAATAATCGTCATAATAATAATTCATCACCGCCCACACGTCGTCAGGTTGATGTGATGATAATTGATTGATGTTCAGTTAATTTACTTCTTGTTTTTAACTGAATAAAATGTATTGTTCATAAGTGGACAAAATTGATACATACATACATACATACATACATACATACATACACACATACATACATACATACATACATACATACATACATACATCCATACATACATACACTGGCAATCAGATCTCGATATAAGTTACTTGTCAACACACAAATAGTCGTCCTGTTTCTCATTCAGTCATTAGTGTTGCCTAGAGTCACACAGGTGTTACGGCTTACCTGCACGCCACTAGCCAGCCATTGATGCTGTCCACTGGTGATAAACAACCCCTCTATTGATGTAGTAATCAATAACCATCATGAGTTACGAATTAATGGTGCAATTAACTAAGAAATCAATAACCACATTAATTGAAGCTGACCATTAAGTCTATTATTAAATACACCATTAACCTCTTTATTGGTGTAGATAATCACTTCATCAATTACTGTTAATGTATCTGAAGAAACAATAAATTATTCTTTCAATCTTCGAGTAAATTGATAAATGTCCATTGATTGAAGGTTATTTATACAGTGAATAATAAATAATATGAATGTAATTTAAAGATGAATGATAAACCAATGATGAATATATATCAAAATCATACATAATTTGGTAGATAAATATTGTATTATGTGTATCGTAGAAATAAGTCACACA